GGGCCTGGCAGGACCCCCTCCTCTCCTCGAGCCTTTGCAGAACCTCCCTCTCCTGCTGGCCAAGCTGCCGCTTCAGGCACCGCTGGGTTTTTTTTCCCCCCACCCGGTAGCCTTGACAGAAGACTGGGTTCCCTTCCTGGAAAAGCAACTTAAAGCAAAGCTGGGCTGGGGATCTCTCGTGAATCTGTAATAGAAGCAGGAGAGACTTTCTGTATTTCTTCTTGCTGTCTCCATGGTCTTCAAATAGTGAATGGTTTAAAAACAAAAAACGCCTCACCTACGGGACCCTTCCCCCCCAAAGCCCCAAGTTTTAAGATCCCCAAATTATGATCTTGCTTTTTAAAAGTAATGCAAGTGGTAAAAATTTAGCTAACATTGGAAGTGTGGAGGGTACCAGCCCGGGCATCTCTCAGATCCCAAGTCTTAAAAACCATAGCTCCCGAGCCAGATAGATCAAGGGAAAGTTCAAGACTGTCTTTTTGTTTGTTCCTAGGTTCATCCTGAATTGTATGTTGACAAATCAAGAGGAGATAAACTGAAGATCAATATAGATGTCGTCTTTCCACATATGCCTTGTGCTTGTGAGTGAAGCTTCTGAGCACTGGACATAAGACATTTTTCATACTTGCTGAAGGCTGAACGTACTCGGTGCACCTAGTGCTTCTGAGTGCTGTGCTGCAGCTTGTGTCACGGGCAATAAGGAATTTGTAATTCCTTGTGGTCACGTAGTGATTTCAGCAAGGCCAACAGAGTGTTTATCCCAGCGCTTCCAGTCTCACAGTATCATTTTTATAGATTATAAGTGAGGCTAACATATATACCCACTTATTTGCATGTATGGTGCTGTGCTTTACAAAAAGTTCAGTGATACTGAAAAAACTGGCACAGTTTCTGCTTGTGACTCTGGATTTGACTGTATTGTAGCTGAAGGGCTTCAGTCTCTGAAGGAAGATACTTGACCAGGGACAACTTTTCTGTGATTCTTGTACTTAAATTTTGCATGTAATGCCAATGCCATGTGACAACCCTTTTCCATAGTTTTTAAGATTAGAATGAATGTTAATAATCTGAATACCTTTTATCTAAATTAAAAGTACTGAATTACTAAATTCCTAAAGTAAAGTTGCAGGATGAAATGAGTGAAGACTTAATATTTTCAAAGGTTGTTAAAATATCTGTTGCGAGTCTTACTGAGTGTTTCTGCTCTGCACGTTATCTGAAAGTCCGCTGATCTTCCCTGTCTCTGTTGTAGTAATTTCTTGGGATAGTATATTGGGCTCTAAAAGTAGTGCATCTGCCTTCCTTCCGACCACCCAAGATATTACTGCTCTTTACCTTACTCATTTTTAAAGTCAAGTGACTTTAAAAGGAAGGCCAGAGAGAATGGAAGCCTCTTCCGTTTTCTGCAGAGAAGCTAGCAGTTTTATAAGAGAGCGCTTAGCCAGCAAATGTCTCAAGGTACGTTGGTACCAGGCCAAGACCACAGAGCTGAGTCGTCTTTGTGGAAAGGGTTCATGAGGAAACATGCTGATGTTCAAGCAGGGGGGAGGGGATAAAGGTAGGAAGGCAGCTTTCAGCTACTTGCAAGCTTGACTTCTGGACTGGTGTTTGTACAAATGGTTATGGGGTTTGGGCGGGGAGAGGGAGGTTGCCTAAGTATATTACCCTTACGGGTAACAATTTCTGTGACAGTCCTTCTGGAAACAGTCCTCCTTGTACACCAAACCTACCCCCATTTTTGAAGGGATCATTAAGGATATAGGTGTTACATATTTTATTTCCTGTAAGGCTCTTGGCTCAAACCATACGTAGTCTTCCAGTTTGGCACATTCTTCTCTGCCTTGCTAAAAGATTCTGTATTGAATGCTTCCTCAGACCGCCACAGGCCATAACAAATGTGCTTCTATAAACCACTTTCCTTGCTTGCTGGTTTCAGATTTGAGCATTGATGCAATGGACGTAGCAGGAGAACAGCAATTGGATGTAGAGCACAATCTGTTTAAACAGCGTTTGGATAAAGACGGCAATCGTGTGACTCCAGAGGCTGAAAGACATGGTAATATACTAATCCACCTTTCTTGGATGGATACTCTAGTGGTTTTTCCATCACTGTATGGCTGTTTTGACTTCCACAGGAACAAGTGACAGCTGAAGAGTGTTTAAATACCATAAACTCTTGAAAGAAGAGTTTATAGCATCCAAATCTTTTAACTGGCAGATCAGGCAAACTCCTGTTACATTTGCTACTTTTGCAAGGTAAATCTTTGCCTACTCACTCTGAAATTATGACAAGAAGTCACAGATGCACTGCAGGAGCAAACAGCAGAGTTAATGGTCCTTTATTACTAGAAATCAGGCAGCTCTTCTGTCAAAGTTTGAGTTGGCCGTTTCCTTACATTACAGTGGGCTGGCACAGTGAAGTATCCCGGTTAGAGAAAAGAGAGCATCTTTCTAGGGAAAACCTCAGAGACTGAAGGCTTAAGCCTATACTTACGTACTTAAACATTACTTTATCTATTTCGTGTATATTAATAAATATCTGAAAAATATATTTAGTTAACTCATCAGTTACAAGTTGTTCCTTGGCTACACAAACCCCTCACCTACATTTTTACATACTATGGTTCGTCCTTGTACTTGGGCACAAAACGGAAACAATTCAGGAAAACGATGTTGTAATCTAACAAAGATAACTGCTCTAATTTTTCATTTTCCTTTCCAAAACGTGAGGTCCTTATTACCTTTTCTGAGACATAGTATAGTCTGTATATCAGCGTAGAGTGAATTTGATGACTTGTATCACTCAGATAAAACTTTTCTGGTTTTGAAGTTGAGAAGATAAGCTAAGCAAAGAACTACACAATCCCTAGGTACAATGATTTCTCCAGTTAACATGTGAATGGGGGGAAAGTGGTGCTGTTATTGTGTCACTTAGTAGCCTTTCTGTATTAGGAGGCTATGACATTACGAATTAAATAGGAGGGGGGCAAAAACAGCTTTTCCGTATCTAATTCTCTGTTAACTCCTGCCCTACATGTATTACCAATCTCCATCTGTATCACTACGTTTGAGCTTGTTGCTTACCTTAAAAAAAAAAAAATAAATAAAGGGGGGGGGGCACAATTTAAAATAGGTCAGCATGCAACAAGTAATTTCCTCCTTGCTCACTAGAAGTACACATGACTGGTTCAGGTGAAAATGTTTATATCGCCCATGTTGTAAGCTAGATCAGAAGAGTCCACCTGTCTTCATTAAACTATATGATTATCAGTTTCTTTTAGTTATGTTACCATTCAGTCAGTTTTTTAAATTGCAGCTATAATAATAGTCACTATAAGTTAAGCAATATATGCGAAGTTTAAGTAATAGTATCTGGATGCTTTTGCTACTATATTATTCCTAAAATAGTCAATAACTAACTACAAAATTTCATGATTCCTATAATAGGTTGCATTGTGCTTGGGTATTTTCTTCATTCATTTATACAGAATGATCATAGGTGATTGACTTCTTTATTGGTTCTTATAACTTGCTTCCTTTCCTCAGACAAAATTCTGCAGTGTTCTGTGTCTTATAAGCGTGCAAATTGAGGACCCTGTTAAGAGCAAGAAATTGCGTATGGGTTTTTATGCGCTGCAGTTTCTTTGTAGTGTCTAAACTGTGTGTGTATTACGTTTGGATGCTGTCTTTGAGACAACTCATTTGACAGCTAATAGCTATATCGAAAGAGATTGTTACTGGGTAATATGTCTTGAAAGACACCATGCAACAGTAGGTCTTCTTGTTCAGTTGGTAGGAATCATGGCTTTGAGAAAGTGTAACAGTTGCGAAGCTATACTTCCTGAGAGTATCTTTTAGTTACAAATATAAGATAAAAAGCAATACCCGCTATGTAAATAATGAATTCTTAAATAATGAATTCTTAATCACACTTTCATTTACCTTAACGTTGTAATCTTTAGAAAAGCAGTCCCACACAGCTGTTTAACTTATAATGGGTATTTATTTCCCTAAAAGTTTATAAGTGCTTGATCGTAACTACAATAAACTATTTGATTAAAAAAATAAAGAGGTAAGGTTAATAATTGATTTCATACATTCTGTTTTTTAATTAAAAACTTTTTCTGTGGCTAATATGAAATACACATACTTAACATTCACTTCATCCACCTGCTCTATACTTCTCAATCTCAATAAACAAGTCCCTGATAAAGTTTTATCCCCTCAGCAATGTCTGACCATATATCCTATTCCCCTCCTGGGAGTTATTTATCCATAGAGTGATCTTTTCAGGGCTTGTGTAGGGTAGTGTAGAAGTGCCTTAGAGGTCTTGTATAATCCAAGAGAGTTTCTCTGGACATGGTCTCTTCAGGATTCCTGAGGTGAAACTGTCTGGTTCTACGGGTGCCCTCAATTATAAAAACCTTCGCTCTTTCAATATTTTTGAAAAAAATTAAGTGAAATTTAAAACACAGACTTCCTTGGCTTGCTTATTTCTAACTCCATAATTTACAGACTTTTAGTATTTATTTCAGTTCTTAGGAAAAGAAAATCCTGTTCGAGTTTTCTGTAGGAATCTCCTACCTTTTGGTGTGTTTCATCTGTCCTCAGCCCTCATCGCCTCTGCTACAAGTCCATCTTTTTGCTGGCAATATTCAGTCTTCTGCACCTTTTTGCTGGCAATATTCAGTCTTCTGCACCTTTTTGCTGGCAATATTCAATCTTCTGCACGCAAGAACGTAAGACTCTGCGAGCTCATGCCCTAGCTATACTGAGATGGTGCATCCGACATGCCTGGGGCACAGACAATGACAGAATTGTTAAGTCATTAAGAGGACAGAAGTTTCTTGGAGCTTTCTAGTGAGCAGTTGTCAATGTGTGTGTGCGTGTTGTCAGCGTTGTAATCTTGGAGGATTTGGTATCAGTGCTCCAGTCAGGAGACTCCTGCTCTAATCTTACTTCACAAAGAAACAGACTCAGATTTGTTTATCATCAGCAAAGCACAGCCCGTAATGCATTCGTTCCCACAGATGCATGTATGTAGGCTGTGGAGAGGCACAGAATATTATTCTTTAAGCCAATGCTTATGTGGTTTCTGACTTTACTTTTATACAGCAGTCAAAACAAACAACGTTGGCAGGAACGCAGCACTCCTGCCTTTCTTAGCGTGCCAGTGTTGGACCCTTCTAAGCCTAATGCAGCCATCTTCCCTATGCATCTTGGGGCAGGATTATGCATTGTGCACATCTTGACTCTATTTGACAAAAATTTCAAATTTTGTTTACATAAGGAGTCCTGTATGAGTCACAATTTACTGATCAGTAAACTGTCTATTTTAGATAATGTTTTAACAAAGCCTTTATGTGAGTAGCATATTGACCAGTGCTCCAGCAAGGCTTACGGATAACCCATTCTTTTTATGGTGGATACTCTTGCAATAAAGGATACCGCTCTGATGCTTGATCTTGCTTCACACCTCAGCAGGCTCTCTGCATACTGTTTCAGATGGGCTTTTGATGCAGGGCACAGCTTTGGATTCAAAATCTTTGCATTCATGTGTACAACAGTCACTGTACGTAGAACAAAACAAATTAGAAGTGCACCATAGTGTTTCCAGATGTGCCTCATCACTTTGAATCCAATTTTGTTTTAGAGCTGGGAAAAGAAGAAGAAAAAGTGTTTGATCCAAATTCTTTGGATGCTGATCGCTGTGAGAGCTGTTATGGGGCCGAGTCAGAGGACATTCGGTAACCTTTATACCTTTCTTTGTGCATATACACATCTTAGCACTCAAATTAATACCATTGTGTTGCATGCATGTTTCTTTTCAGAATTTCTATGAAGGTCCCTGGAAATAAATTCTGGGCATGTGTGTTCAGAGTATTCTGAAAACTATTATGGCTGCGGGTGTGTCTTTTGAAGATATAACTGGTGAGCTGCCCTCATAGTTGCTAGGAACGTGCAGACTTAGGTTGTCTGGTTTGTCTGCAACCTTATTTAAGCTCATGTGAAACTGCACTACCTTTTCAGTAGCACAAAGACAGATTATATCTCAGCAAACTGTATCTTTCCTGGAATTACTTGATATCAGAGGGGAGTAGTGTAATTTATTTCACCATTAAGTAGCCTGTTTTGAATAAAATGTGGCTGTGGCCCTGCTTTCTCACTTCTGCTGCAGGCCTTGCATTCCTAGGTGAACAAAGGCTGGACATGCACTGCTTGCATAAACGATGGGTGTCATTTGGTGTTTTTCCTTCCTCCCACCTGCAAGGTCCTATAAGAATGGATCCTTGTTTAATCCATAGGTTCTGGACTGTCATTCGCTATTATTGTCTATTTTAGTAGTTTTATTTGTCCCATCTGTCAAGTCGCATGATTCTACCCTTCAGCTTTTTCTTCTATCCAACAAAACATGAAACCAGTGAAGAAAACAGTGTTTTTTTCCGATGATGATGTTATCCACCGGTATAAAATTAATGGAGACAGTTCCCCATTAACCCCTCTGTCAATTTTGGCTGTCTTCACCTAAAAACTGAAAAGAGTGGGAATTTAAACAGGCAGACGCTTTGTTCACATTGGGAAATTATAAATTAGTCAGTATTAAAATAGCTTGTGACCTTTTGCCAGAATCTCAAGAAGTAGTTCAAAAAGCTTGAGCTGCTTCAGAAGCATTAGGCCAACCTTCAAGGTCCAATCACTGATATTTGCTTTATTGCTTTGTGGAGTAATAATCCACTAGGGATTCATGTCCTGAGCAGTAGCATTTTTTTTTTATCGTGATAAAGATAGTAAGATGGTGTTTGTGCTTTTGCAGGTGTTGTAATACTTGTGACGACGTCAGAGAAGCATACAGGCGCCGAGGCTGGGCCTTCAAGAACCCGGATACCATAGAGCAATGCAAGAGGGAAGGGTTTAGCCAGAAAATGCAAGAGCAGAAGAATGAGGGCTGCCAAGTGTATGGTTTCCTAGAGGTCAACAAGGTGAGAGATGGTTTTCGCCTTAAACCTGCGCTGTGCTAGTGATGGCTTTGAAAAGGCAGAGTCTGAGTGTTCCTTTCCTTTTCCAGCCTTAAGTGTTCACAGTACTGTAATATAAGTGCCCCTGGGCTCCAAAAAGTAATTGTGTCCATAAAGGGGCGTGGTAGGAGAGTCAAGAGAAGCAGTGGAAATGGAGACTTCTCTGTGTTTCACTGTGTAGACTGATAGCAAGCACAGACCTGGAGAAGCTTAGCTTTCCCTGCCATCTAACAAGTCCTGTTGTATAGGTTTCTGGAGAAGGAGAGGCGCTTCTTTGATGTCAGGTTGTCCCACCTGTCTTTTTAGTCTTAAAACAGAGACATTGTTGGAGATATCAGTAATCAACAACTTGCCAGCAATCATGCTGAGTAGAGTGACATGTTACCTTCTTTAGAAAACCGATAGAGGAAAGACTACTGGAGCTGATTAGCAAAGCCAAAAATGCTCAGAGAGAGTGCAAGGATGGGGATTCATTTGCTTGCCTGTATTTTGAAACTGATGTGTGAAAATTAGGTATTAAATACACCAAATAGCTATATAACTAACCTGTCATTTGGAGAGTTACCTAACCCAGAAGAGTTGAACACGCAGATTACATACCCAAGTACATTCTAGAAGTTAGGCCCAGGCTAATTTTTTCTTAAGCTAACTCTTTGGTTTTTTACATCTTCTTATACCCTTCCTGGAGACCACATGCTTCATTTCTGGAGTATAAATCTTTTGCTCACTGAGCTAGGCTTTGTGGTTTGAGTGTCATCTTGGGTACCAAAAAATTATGGAGCCATTTATCACAACATGTGGTGAGGAAGAAAGATTCACAAGTATATTGACTGCTGATATTGTCACCTGTTTAAGTAAGTGGCTTGCTTGGTATATACCTTGTTGGGGAGGGGGAAAAAAAAAAAAGTAGTCCAAGCAGCAGTATTGCTGCTTTATTTATTTAGATTCAGACCTTTTAATGAAAGATGACTGTTTCCTGCAGGTAGCTGGAAATTTTCACTTTGCACCAGGAAAAAGTTTTCAACAGTCTCATGTGCATGGTAAAGTATTTTCTGTTTCTATTTATTGTTACCTTTTAGCTTCAAAGCATATCTGTGCTTTCCCTTTGATTATCTCTGCATTGCAACCCGTAGTCAAAACAGCACTGCTTTAGTGGGGAGAACATTGTTGAAGTTTTGTTATAGAAGTTTAGAACAATCATGAACAAATAGAGAAGTGTTTTCTGGAGGTGCTGCCACAGGGATTTGGAGGAGCTTTGAAGAGAATGAGACACTGCCCACAAACAGTCTCGCTTGTTCCATAAAACTTTGCTGTCCTGCTGTAAAACAGTCCCCGGTAAGGTGTTCAGTCCAGGACCTGAATATGAATATCTCTGGAAGAGGTGTTTTAGAGAGTGTCTCAGGAGAATTTTAAAGCAGTTCAGTACTTAATAGTGGTAGTTAGTTTATGCCTTATATCTTTAACAGGAACTTGATTGGAAATATTTATGTGATGTAATGAAACATTTGCGGTGTTCCTATGATCAAATTTTTGAAGCACGACACTTGTAGTAAAGGTTTCACAAAGAACTTTAATTTTAGCTTGATTTCCCCTTCCCATCACTAACTATAGTGTAACCTGTACTGCTGAACTAAAGATCATGGGGAGAATGTGTTTTGTTAGAGTAGCTGATGTATTTGGAAAAAAACAAGAAAGCTTTTGAGTTTCCACAGATGAAATAAATCACTTTTGTGCAGAAATCTTGTCTATTTTTTCCAACAATATTAATTAGTCTAAAAAAATATATATCACTTCTTTCTGCAGAACTTGTGTTTTATGCCTAAACTAGCATGGCAACGGCAGCCTTACTATAGCCAGTATTTACAACTCTGCAACATGTATATATGTTAATGAGAAGTCTCTGTCCATTGCATCTTTTCCCTGTAATAGGCATGAATGCAAGCTGGCTGTCCTGAGAGCAAAGTACTATGTGGTGTGTGTACCCTAGAGCAGTGAGTAAGGTCAGGATAGCTCTCTATTTGCTTGTGCCCTGCAAGTCTTGGATCTACTGAACCGAAAAAATATGGGCTACGGAGAGAAAATACAGCTGAAAAATAGAACAGACTATGTAGTTACTGCAAACTTTTCAGGGGCAGAGTTAGCTGTCCTGGTGGTTTTGAGTGCAATGAGAAGGAGTAGGAGGAGAGGTGATGATGTGGGTAGATGGACCCTCTGCTTTCTGGGAATTCTTTCATATTACATAATGAGAAAAAAAGACCCCTAATACTTAATGTACAACTTTTTTCAGCGCATGGGGTTTCCTACGTCTGTTACAGTCTATGGAGAGCCCTCAGTGGCTCTCTTTCAGGTACTTTTCCCATCCTGCCATGATCCCATATAAACTTTTTGCATTTACAACACCCTTTTGCAAGGAGTTCAATAGGGCTGTTCTGCTGTAAGACAAACCACCTCCTCTCATTTGCCTGCAACCTGGCTACTGCTAGCTTAATTTGATGGCCCTTGTTCTTCCATTGGAAAAGACATGTGTGATCCATGCCCGCTCTCTCCTTGCCGCTCGGGATGTCGTGGACCTTTCCTGTGCCACCCTGCAGGTCATTTATTTCCACAGCTGAAGAGTGCTAGCCTACTCAGCTGGTCCTTTGTGGAAGCCCTTCAGCCTCTGAGCTTCCTTGCTGCCTTTCTCTGAACCTCTTCTAGTTCTGCTATGTCCAGAAGTGCTAGAACTGCACCCAAGATTAAGGTCCAGACTAATGTTGTAAGCAGTGGCATGATGATGTTCTCCCTTTTGTTCTCTCTTTACTTTTCTAGTAATTCCCAGCATTTGTTTTCCCTTTTTTCAACCTGTTACTGGGCAAGGCTTTCATGGCACCATCAAGCAGAGTCCCACTGTATCCCCACTTCTGAGAGAAATGGGCAACTCAGAGCCTGTTGTTTTATATATGAAGCTGAGACTGTTTTTGCCCTCAGTATAGCCTTTCTTCATAATCCTTTTTTTTTTTTTTTTTTTTTTTTTGTAATTTGCAGACATTTTTTTTTTTTTTTTTTTGTAATTTGCAGACAGAGGTTTTATATTTTCCTTTAATTCCTGATAAAGACTTTGACTAGTATTGGTCAGAGGACAGAACTCTGTGGGCTCCCTGAAAATATCTTTTTTGGATGATAATTCCACTGTTAGAACTTTTGTGTGTGTGATTTTTAATCCGTTTACTAAGGTCTCCGTTAATGTTTAGTCCTATTAATACACTTGATAGACTATCATGCAGGATGAAGCTGAATGCCTAAGAGAAGTCTGAATATTCCAAGATACTATCATAAACCACATTAACAATCCAATAAAATAATAATTTTGCTAGACCTATTTAATACAAAACTGATAACTGACAGTATTTCTGCTACTGTCTTGTATTCTCTGCTGGTTTGAATCAGTAGGAAATGGGGTAATCAAGAATGTCAATACTATGGAAAGTTCATTCATTGCACCATTCTCCCTGCCTCGCTTTGCAGTGGCTGTACCACATCTGTGCAACTGATGGTCTGACCTGCGTCCATACTGTTTTTTTTGGTGCTATTCAGATATTGAAGCTGGGAGACCAGCGTTTCAGTTTCTTGTGCTGATGCTTCCTTCTTACCCTGAGGACTACTGTTGTTTAATAATCTCCAGAAATGGGAATCTGCACAGACATCTTCATGACAAAGTGAAGGGTCCTATTCAGAAGCACTTAGTAAATATGATCATAAATGTAATTCTGGTCAGAGCTTTTCAATTTATGTCTTGTGGTTGCTATTATCATCTTCAAAACTGTGATTTCTCTCTTGGGTAGAAGCAAGCTGAAATTGTTTTTTTCAAAAAGTAGAATAAGAAATAACATGAGACGTAGAGCTAACACGCATGCAAAGCAGGACCAGCACTGAATAAGATGCTATTTGATACCTGTTTAGTTATGTTAGCTTTAATTGTGTGTAGCTCAGTCTTTACGTCCTTTTATTTTGTTTGGCTAGACAAGGCCCAGAAGAAGCCTTACTTTTTCAGGGATGATTCGTTCCTTGTTCGGACTTCCTTTTTCGTACACTGTTCTCTCTCCTTGCTTGTATTTTTGTTCTCATGTACTCATACTTTGTCCTCAGAAGTCATTTGCCTGAACTAATATTTTCATGTGCCTGAAGGAACTAGAAAGATTGGAAATGCTGAAAACCAAAAGTTGTGTTAAGAAAAAAAGGTCTTTGTCTGCTATTTTGTCATTTTTATTTTCTTCTGTTTCTGCCTGCATGAATATTAAATCCAGGTGAGATAATTTTGTTTCACTTATTGTTGTTTGCATGGATGCTTTTCTATGCTTGTATGTAACCTTTGTTCTCATTTCTTTTGACATTTGTTCCATATTTGTACACATATTGAGAACTGGCTGGATGGCAGAGCTCAGAGGGCTGTGGTCAGTGGCACAGAGTCTAGTTGGAGACCTGTAGCTAGCGGTGTCCCCCAGGGGTCAGCACTGGGTCCAGTCTTGTTCAGCCTGTTCCTCAGTGACCTGGATGAAGGCAGAGAGTGCACGCTCAGCAAGTTTGCTGACGATCCTAAACTGGGAGGAGTGGCTGACACACCAGAAGACTGTGCTGCCATTGAGAGGGAGCTGGAGAGGCTGGAGAGCTGGGTGGAGAGGAACCTCCTGAAGTTCAACCAAGGCAAGTGCAGGGTCCTGCACACAGGGAGGAATAACCCCAGGCACCAGCACAGGCTGGGGGTTGACCTGCTGGAAAGCAACTCTGCCGAGGAGGACCTGGGAGTCCTGGTGGACAACAAGTTAAGCATGAGGCAGCAGTGTGGCCTTGTGGCCAAGAAGGCCAAAGGTATCCTGGGGTGCATTAGGCAGAGTGTGGCCAGCAGGTTGAGGGAGGTGATCCTGTGCCTCTCCCTCTCCTCAGCCCTGGTGAGGCCACATCTGCAGTAGTGTGTCCAATTCTGGGCTCCCCAGGGCAAGAGAGACATGGCACTACTGGGGAGAGTCCAGCGGAGGGCTCCAAAGATGATGAGGGGACTGGAGCATGTCTCCTCTGAAGAAAGGCTGCGAGAGCTGGGCCTGTTGAGCCTGGAGAAGAGAAGACTGAGAGGCGATCTCATCAACGTGTACAAGTATGTGAAAGGGAGGATGTCAAGAGGATGAGGCCAGACTCTTCTCCGTGGTGCCCAGCAACAGGACAAGAGGCAACGGGCAGAAACTGAACCCCAGGAAGTTGCATCTGAGCATGAGGAGAAACTTCTTGACTGTGAGGGTGCCTGATCAGTGGAACAGGTTGCCCAGAGAGGTGGTGGAGTCTCCTTCCCCTGGAGATATTCAAAACCTGCCTGGACGCGACCCTGGGCAACGTGCTCTAGAGGACCCTGTCTGAGCAGGATGATCTCCCGAGGTCCCTTCCAATCTTGGCCATTCTGTGATTCTGTGAGATATATTCAGCCTAGCTGAAAGTCATTCTCCACAGTCATTAAATCCAACTTCACGTTATTTTTGGTATCTCATAATGCAGAGGTCCTGAAATATGTTGTAATTTGGAAGTTGAGGTAGCTGGGGATTTTTTTGTCCTGGAAAGAACTGTCAGGCTCTACAGGGTTGATTCAGTTTTCAGTTCTTAGCCATCTGTATGTACATTCACTTTGTCGGTATGCCTGATCAGAATCCTCAAAGATGGATAAAGTTTAACCGCTGTGGTATCTGTAAAAGATAGACTTCTGCCCTGCATTCTCTCCTGCCTGGTTCATCAGTAAGGAGACACTTTAATTCTTCTCAGGTGACCATAAGAGGCTGGCCATTTTATTGCCAGAGATATTTCTGCAGCATGGACTTTGCTCGTATTTTATCTTCAGCGTTCTCCTATTATCTCCTACTCAAGCTGGCTACTGGAAAATGCTTAGTGATAGATTCCTCAGGAGAGAGATGATCCTCACACCGCTTCCTTCTTCTCTGCTCTATTTCTTCTAACCATGCTCTGATTAGACAGGTGGAAGCTGAGGATTCACATTCATTCCTTAGGTTGTCTTGGGACCATTGTGTTTCTGAGGTGCTGTCGTCAATATTTTCTAGGGAAGACAATGCCCATTGTGCTTTATTGACAACCAGAGAGCTTTTCAAGATTTCTGAAAATGTGTCATTAAATTCCTTCAGTTCCCTTAAAAAGTAGTAGTTGACACTGATGACAACATTCAGGACATTCTCTGTCCTAAAGGTATGCTCCAAATGACTGTGATGATTTCTGTGAATGAAGCAATTCTGAATGTGATCCGAATTTGGGGGTTCTCTCACACACTAGAGAGTCAACTAGAGGAATGAAGTTACCTTTGAAGACCCCATTTTTGTGATTGCCACTTCTTTTTCTCCTCATTTGTGATGACGGTTGTGGAAGAAAAAGAAAAGAAAAGAAAACAGTCTCATCTTTGAGATGATGAAATTTTGAAAAATGAGCTGCCCGCTCAGAGTCACTGAGCTGTGCCTGGGAATCCGTGAAGCTTTGTTAGCTCTCTAAGAGCACGAATTCACTGGATGATAATACACCTTCATTAATGTTCTGTGCATGTAGTTATGGGAGAGCTTATTCCCTTCTCTAGGGATTTGATTGATGGCCAGAATCTGTTGGAGGGCATTCTTGGACGGTATGGATGACCCCTAATAACCTCTCTTATTTTGTGTAGCTTCTAGTAGTTTGAATGCTGGATTGCAAAAGGGCATGAAGCTTTTGACTGAAGACCAGTTATTGTTTTTTAGATCTCTTGATATCTTCTCATTGGCTACCAAGAGCAAGTCACAGTAATTCTTTTTACTGCAGAGCCTGCAGCCTCCTCCTCTGTTTCTGTCCCAGAGCCCTACCAGTCATGGCCTTGTTTCCATTGCACAGGCCTTCTACAAATACTGGTACTTGATGTAAACTCTTCTCCGCTCATCAGCGTTCTTGGAAATAAATCTTGGAATCAAACCTTCCATCTGGCAAGGACTTCATTTCAGAGCGTGGGAGATCCATATCCTCTGGTTGATCGTCTGTACAGTATTTCTTCCAGAGCGGGTGTTTCTGTGAGTTCGTTCTAACTTCTGTCCCAACGTAGTGTCTGCCTGGAAATTAACTGATTTCATCCCCGAAATGAACGCTGGAGGCTGATGCTTTTATTTTACCCTCAGTAACGCTCAGGACTTTTCTTTTTCAGAGGTTGCTTAAGGTGGTGCTAAAAGACTTAAGGTCTCATCCATTTCCATGTAGATGGACAAACTCTTTCCAGATGTATCAAGTCTGGTTTGGAGATCACAAAACTGACATTTCCATTTGTCACCAGACTACAATGCATCAGAGCTCAAGTTGTAGCATTGGTTGGGAGTGCCTGACATCTGCCAAGCAGCTCTCTGGAGGCTATCCATACCTTCTGCAGAGCAAAAAACTTGCAGTCATAGAAGCATTACCAGTGATGTAGCATTTGGCAGAGTGAATAGGGAGTTGCTGGGTGAAGGATCCAGAGGCCTATCTCCAAGCAGGTATAAAGCTATGAAAGTTATTGGTTAGTCATGCACAGTGTGACCACATGTGAACAGTCTTTTGAAACAAAAAAAAAAAAAAAGGAGGTTACTTAACCATTATTAGTATTTTTTTGAGGTATGCAGTCCAAATATGCATTTTACCCGCCCCCGATCCTTCCAGATATTCACTTTTGTTGGGATCTTGCAACAGAATGAACAAAAATAACCTCATGACTTGCCATCTTATTTGTGCATCGGGTATGATGAAAGAAGCATAGGACTGATTAAGAGAAAAACTTGTTATCCAGCTTTGAATGGTAATATGTTGTGAAAGTACACCTTGGCTACACTTGTGAATAGCTTTGGTTGCTCATAAAATAACCTTTCCACTACCCTAAAGGACTGAAAGAAATGGGGTCTAAATATAACCGGCAGTGTTGTCTGGCATGCTTCTTTAGAGTTTATTTGAAATATATGGTTACCCCACTGCATTTTTTTCTTTTAGTGATTAATTCCTGCATTTGTGTTTCTCAGTTACTCTTTCAGTGATTGCCGGTCCATTTATCAGTTCTTTGGATTGCTAGGGAGTCTTTATATATGGCCTAGAAAACACACTGGTAAAGCAATTATTCTTCCCCTTTTTGGTATGAGTTTTAAATGCTGCTATATCTGAATCTCTGCTTTTCATTATAAGGATCTGAATATTTCTCTTTTCTCTCCTACTCTGCTCATTTTTGCAGTGCACGCTGTTGAGAGTAAGTGTCGCTATATCCTTTCTTTTTCAAAATTGTTTGCTACGGAACTGATCTAATTTCTATTATTTGCTGTGCCCATAAATCTCCTTTGGGAGGAGCTGTTGATCTAGGCTGGGATTTGAGGAGATTTCCTGAAAGCTAAAAGGAAAACCATCCCAGCTCATTCTTATGCGATAAATGAGGTCACTAGATGGAAAAGGTTGAGAATCTTTGACTTAAATTGCTTTAATATGTCAGTGCTGGAGATAATGTGTTGGTGGATTATTAGTTGTTCTGTGCAGATAACGTAATTGAGGGGGATGTGGTAACAAGTTGGAAAGACTTCTATCTTTTGAAGTCAGATGGGATAATTATCTCATTTAATCTCATTTGTACAACAGGCTAGAGAATTTCTGCTGAGAAGTTATGCACCAAGCCTGCTAATTTCAGAATACTCAATAGAAGGTTTTCTCGGGGCGGGGAGGTTGTAAGTCATTTGGATTTTTTTTTTTAAAGGTGAGAGAATCACAGTGTTTACAGATTAGATGTGATGTTTCAACTCAAGAACATCTGGTAGAGGGCTCAGGCTCTCTGTTCTGCTCATTCCCTCCCCCAGCTGCAATGCTTTTGGTGTTACTCCCCACCTCAGTCCCCTCTTCACAGTCCTTCCTTATCCCACTCTCACCTCCCAGCAATGTGCTCCTGTAAGATATCTTCCTTGAGAAAATTCATCCCCAGTTTTAAACTTGATGTCCTAGCACATTTTGGAGCAACGTGTTTAGGTAGCTGTGCCTTGAGTTTCTTGCAAACTTCAGGTATTTATTTTCAGAATCCTCAGTGGCAGGAAGTGCCATTAACCTTGTTTTACAGGTAAAGGACTGAGTGAGGAACAGACTTTAAGGTCACCCTGGGAGCTTTGCGATTATTCAGGACAGAAAAACAAGATGGGAAGAATTCTTCATATAGTCAGCAGTTCTTAAAGTTATGTTACTAAAGCATTGAAGAAAACTAGATTATATAAAATTGGATAGAGTCCTTGACAAACCTAAGACATTTTACAGGTTTCTTTATTTTACCTAGCTAAGCACTTAGCAGCAGTTACAGAAAGGAAAGAATGTATTTATGTTTCCTTAGAAATAACAGTCTCTTAAGACTTTCTGTTGTGTTTCCTGGCTGTTTTTCTTCCCTAAGTAGGCTAAATAGCCTATTGTTTTATGTTAAGAAAACTATGGTTAACTAAACATTTATTTCCAGCCCAGACTGTATATGCACGTGCTTAGCGTAAGCCTCAGTGATCAAAGATAAATAAACCTTTAGTCTGGTGGAAAATTGCTTCAGAAACTGATTGTATGGATCATGCTTTTTCACAGAGTTGTAAATCATTTATTTGAGAAGTATTTTATAAAAACTTATTAATTAGCATTTTGCATATGGAGCATTATAGCAGAGCAATATGGGGCAATCTTACTTTAAATAGTCCTAACTTAAAATGAGTCATACACAATGTACATCTAGTTTAATATGTTCATTTATGGCTGGTCTTTCTCACGTGCTTCTCTTGAATTTCTCTCATACTCCGCTACTACTGTAAGATTTCTCAGCCTCACTAGCACTCAGCTCAAACTTCACATGCTAACGAATGTAACTGCTCAAGCACTAAAACTGGAAAACGCCATAACCTTTTTGTGTAGGCTCCTGCCAGCACAGTTACTCCTGACCCCTTCTGTGCCAGTTGCTTGTATCCCTTGTTGCGCTGCATTAGCACAAGCGCTTGTGCAACTCTGAGATTACCCTTATTTAGTAGCTGATCTGGCTGCAAAAATTCCCTCGAATAAAGCAATACTTACATTTCAGTCTGTTACGGTCTCTGATGTGGTTCAGCACAGAGAAGATGGTGGCGTGGGACTGAGCCATCAACAGAAACACCAGGGGACAAAGATTCTTTCAATAGTAGTCCAGTTTAAACGCAGATCACCTCTAGCTTGAATCTCTGTAGGATTTTGTTGTTAGCTGAAAACTAGCTTACTGGTGTCTGTACAAAAGGCAATGAGCCTTAACACTTCACTGACAACTAACCCACTTATCTCTTGACTTAAGTGCGTGATACTTTGATTGCAACATTAAACAGGGTGTTTCTAGTAACCAGTAACAAAAACAGTGTAGTGTAATGCCATTGTCACTTCTCCTTTCCTTCCTTTCCCTGCCCTCATAGCTGATTTCACGTGTATTTCCAAATTTTTGGTAGGGTTTTTTTGTTTTTTGTTTCTTTTTTAAGACAAACGTGTTCTCTGATCTCTGCCAGCACAGCCACACAAACGGCTGTGCTAGTGGTGGTGATATATCTGCACGCTTCCTTCAGAGGTAGGAACAGGGCGAAAGAGAATCAGAAACATCTGAAGCCAGGGCAGCTCTGAGCTCTTACTGTACTTCTATTTTTGTAATGCAAAACCACTACCTTGACTTCGCTGACTGCAGCCTTAGTTTCTGAGTGCTGAATATTTTACTTATGAAACGCAGTGTGGCTTCCCTAGATCAAAGCTTTAGGAGAAGGAAGAGTATAGTTCAGGTTTAGCATTTCCTGTTCTAACAGTAGAGCCTGTGTTTTGCTTGCATTTATCTTTATTTTTAGTTGGTTTTATGTAAACACAAGTAAAGCTTCTGTTATTTTATAGACAGGTGTTAGTAGAAAAAGTATATGGTACACTCATGCTAAACAAATGTTTGCTTAAAAGGAGAGGTTAGCTTCAATCAATTCTTTAGCTTTGCAGCCTTTCTTGTGCTAGATTGTATATCAAAAACCTTTTAAGAGAGCAGCATTCCTAATCTTCATTAATAATATAGCAGCACTTGGTGACCTGACTCCATCAGCTCATAAACTTAATAACTCACAATTTCTGAACCGTGGTTTTCCTTGCTGAGATAAAAGGTAAAGTCTGGGTTCCTGAGCACATGAATCTACTTGTTAAAATGTGCCACAGCCTTTTAAAAGACTGCCTGCTTTAGGATGGTTATATGACTTTGGATACACCTGTAGGAGTGATACTGCAATTTAGGTGTAAGTTATACTTTCATCTTGAGACTGATGCTACTGGTCTTACGTGAAGTCACTTAAGTAGCCAACAAGAAGGTAGTAGTTCCTTTTAAAAATTGCCTCCTGTTGTCCGTATCTTTGCCATGTCTCTTCTGGGTGCGTAGTGCTGCCAATGTCAAGGTACTGATGTATGCAGGAAATGCAGAGAGAGGGCAGGCCGATACCCACAAAGGGTAGCGCCGGCGAAAGTAACGTCAGCCGCTGCCTATGACTTGCAAAAACCCTGCTCGGGCTGTCCCTGCGAAGACTTTTCTTTTCCCTATGTGTTCTTTGGGCAGCAGTAACAAGGCTTATAGGAGTGCTCTGTTGCTAAGATGCCAGTGATTTCTTTTGGACGCTTTCATGTGATATTGTTTAAGGCAGATGCTCTGCTCAGCTGTTAGTTTAGATCTGTTGTGTTAGTGTTTTACAGTAATTAAAGGAGTTAAGCAAAAACTAAAATGGATATCAGGTAGCGACTGAGATATCAGTGAAATTATCCTTGCTCACCCCTAGGAGCTTGCTCTTTCCCCTGCATTAGGAAAATATTCCAGTGAGGACTGAAATGTCTAATCTGAATTAACTCTTAATCAAAGTTACTTTCCTTTCCTCTGGCAGTGGCTACTCTATGTGAGAAGGGGAAGTACAACAGTTTTATCTGTCATGTGCCCTACTGCAAGTAAGAGAGAAATCCAAGTTATTTTCTTGCATTTTTAGCAATGGAAATAAAAGGAGCTCTCTCATAAGCTTAAATAAGGTAAATAGATATGCTTGATATGATAGTCTGAACTACATTATTAAACTATGTTTCTGTTCCAGTTCACGATCTCCAGAGCTTCGGACTTGATAATGTAAGTGTTTCCAAGACACAGTGTCCGACTTCTCAGTCTGTTTTCCTTTTGGATTTTCTTCACGTTGCCATGTTGAGATCCTAGCATAGTGAACCCAGCTGACTTTAAGCTTTATGAATCTGGGACTTGCTTTGAGACAGGGATCTGAAGTATGTTCTGGGACATCAGGTTGCCTGGCAATCCTCTTAGCTTCTTCCTGAGGCCCCACAGTGCCACTGCCTTAGTTTTGAACCCATGCTCCCCAGTCTTCTAGGGATGCCATTTGCACAGCTGCTTCTGGATGTTTGTGAGTTTGCCTTGCCCTGGGAGCAAAGCAGACGATACCTATACCTGTGCCACTGAGGCATTTGACAGAATGGTGCTCCTGTGACAGGGAGAGGAGCGGGTGGGGGAGCCTCCTCTGTGGATGAGAGGGGAGAGCACCAGGACCCGGGGATTTCCAAGAGGAAAGGGAGAAATTTCACATTTTGGAATCTCCCATGAATAACAAGAAGAGCAGGTGCTTTAGAGTTTACTATTAGGAAGTGTAGAGTAAGGGAGAACCTGGGTCTATTCTGGAGCTACTCTCAGAAAAAGATATAAATAATTAACTTCAAGCCCCTTTCTTTCCCCCAGGACGCCATGTAGTTGTTTGAGTTATTAGCGTTTCTGTTTCAGATCAATATGACGCACTATATCAAACATCTCTCATTTGGAAGGGATTATCCAGGCATTGTGAACCCTCTGGATGGGACAGACGTCACTGCACAGCAAGGTAAAAGCCAGCTGAGAGATATCTCTTTTTAAGTATTTGTAATTAATAAGTGTTGAAAGAGAACAGGAGCAAAGTTCCCAGGCTGTAGCAAGAACTCCGGCGGCATTGCATAAAACTAGGACTCCTCCACACTGTGCTTTCTGAAACAGCTGCTTTCATTCATCTGGGTCAAATCTGCCTGTGTTTTTTGTTTTGATTCTGTGACCTTTCCGAAAAAACTTGACTTTTCTGTTTTAGTGGAGATACAACAGAAGGCACAGCACATATTTACTGAACACCTACATCATGTTTAGTTCAGGGAGAGACCTGCCTAGCTACTACTGTGTGTAGTAAGAAATGACTAAAAGATGCAGGATAAGAGAAGAAGGGCCTAACTAATACTTGCTGTAGAGCCATGGTGTCTGTCTGGCCTTGCTTTACCCATCAGTTAACAGCTGAACAGCTGCAGTTAAGTTGAAATATTCCTGACCTTTTATAGAATAGCTCTGATTTGCCTGCTTGAGAAGGAAAGATGACTCTCCCCTCATGCTACTGCTGCTCAAACTATAATCTTAGTTTAGCCATACAAGCCTGCTTGTGTGCATTTTTCATGAAAGGTACTGACCATGGCACTTTTCATGCCACTGCAGAGATCGTTTTTATTTTTTTAGACGCACTAAAGTCTGCAGAGTTTGTCTTTGCAGACATTTGTGTTATTTGTGTATAAAATAAAGTCTGGAGAAGGAGGTCATTTGTGTTGAGATGGTGGTAGGATTGTTATCCTACCTTAATGTGGAAGGGGCAGGGTATATATCTTGTTCTTCTAAATTTTTTCAATGTCTCTTTTAGTTGTTATACCCAAATTAAAAGATGGTGCTTAAAATAAAGTAGAGAGAAGGGAAGAGGTGTCAAGATGCTGTTGGCTTTTTGTGGACTAACAAATTCTCTGAGAGAGAGCCCACAGCGGTCTGATAAAATTCTCTTTGTAGGCTAAAGCTTTCCATAGTGGGCCACAGAGAACTGGTTGGTAAATTCTTGAGGAATTATTAGGACTGAAGATATAGTCTGAAAAAAGAGTAGAAGCAAAAGATTGTAGGTCAAATTTATGTTTATTGCACACCAGCTATATTTGAGAATTACTCCTTCGGTAGAAGTTAATGAATAATATTCTCCTATAGGGAATCTCATATGAACAGTTTTCCAAAGTGACTGCTACCTTCCATTATTATTAAGAGAACTGAAGGAACAGGCTGTTCTCAGATAGCAGAAAGAGTTCACTTATTTTTTTTCCTCCATTAGTCCAAGGCTTCCTCTTCATCTCCTGGTGTGATAAACACCATGTTTCTACACGAGTAAGTATAGTGTTAGTTAAGTTGATATAGGATACTTATTTAGAGTTGAGTGTCTTTTCTTGCAGTTATGCTGTTAAGTAGAAAAGTGTTCCTGTGTTAGAATAAGAATTTTCTGGAAAGAAGTTGAACTGTTAAAACTGGTGACTGGTAGGTGACTGGTTTTAAAAAAAATTCCTCCATTTAGTCAAGGTCAAAGAGCTGCTCATTTCATTTCTAGTTGAGTAAGGAACTCTAGCTGAGTTGGAAGAAGGAAAACTGATGTCAGACATTAGTTTTACTCTCATTGAACACCTCCAGTAGCTATGGTGCAAAAAGATATTTCTTGAGAAATTTCTCTGAAGAAAAAAGAATTTGTGCCCACCAATCTGGTCAATTAAACTTTTACAGCTCTTTACCATTTAATACACTTGGTTATTCATTGTGTCTCTCTGTCTTTACCTGTAGCTTCCATGATGTTTCAGTATTTTGTCAAAGTGGTCCCCACAGTGTATATGAAAGTAGATGGTGAAGTAAGTACTTTTTTTTTTCTATTGATTTGGGTTTTTATGGAAATCAAAAATCTACATGTTATTCTCTCGTTGAACAAACCCGTTTCCTCTGGGATGAAACCCAAGTGTGATTCTGGGGCTCGTTCAGTGCGGGGACTGATCTACACATGGATGTGTCTATGGCAGAATTTAATTCCCACGTCCTGCACAGTCATACAACACTGTACAAACTCCACAATAGCGGGAGTCTGTAGACTGACTCTTCACCCAAACTCATGCCATATTCAGGCATGCAATACATGCCTTTGCAATCAGAGCGACATACTACTGCATTCTTCATTGTGCATACTTCATTTTGCTTTAGGCACACTGAAATTAAAATCACCAGCAAATTATTAGTTATCTCAGAGGCCACATAGGACCTGCAAGTCCGAGGAGCCAAATGGTCACAGTGGATACAATATAGATGCTCAAGTGAAGTTATTCTAGAGCAACGTGAGCATGTTATTTTTTCACACTCTTGGGTATGTGTAGCCTTCTCAAACTGCAGCTATCAGAGGCTTGTATGACGCCCTTTCTTTCAGATTCCATTTGTTCCACACAAAGTGGTATCTGAACATTGGCTCCTGATGCTCCATGTGTGGAGATGATTTTTCATTTTATTATATGGAAGCTCAGTGCTGCCAGCTGAGTCAAGTGTCAAGTCAGTGTCAAGTCTTAGAGGGTCTTAGGAAGCAACTGTATTGCAGAGTTCATGGCTCTGACTGATAAGAGTGACAGTAGCAGGATGAAGCTAAGCCGGTAGGCTTAGGAAGTCAAGTAGGTCTGTGCCCCTGGAATCTAAACCACTTGCAAACTGTACGTCCGTGCTGTCTCCTGAACCACTCTAGGTGGACCATAGATTGGCAGCGGATGACTTAGTATATGACTTAGTATACAAAGAAAAAGAAATTTGAGAAATTAGTTTTAAAGCACCATGGACAAAAGCTGATGGCTCAAATCAGAAGGACTTTGAAGTACTGAAGCAAAAATCATGGGTTGGTGTCAAATGTGAAGACTCAGACCTCTACCAAGGACAAATGCAATAGTAGCCTGGGCATCAAAAATGTGAAAGGCAGAAAGAGAACATAATGGAAATATTTTTGCTGTGGGCAAAGCTGGTATGCTGAGAGGAGAACCAGGCAGGGTCAGTGCTTCAAGGAGGTGCACTACAGGCCTCTGCCATGGGGGATCCGCACGGAGGCTTCCAGGCTGGTCTTGTACAGGTGTTGGGAGGGGTTGAGGTCAAGAAGAACAGCTTATTCTTCTGCCTGCCAGCAGAAACCAAAACCGTCAAGCCTGGAGAGTGAGGCATAGTTCATTCTTTGGGCTAGATGTGGCCCTGTAGTAAAAGTAGACCTCGTGTTGGTGTTATTCCTTACAACCCTTAAAACTGTATTTAAACCCAGGCCTCACACAAAGGATTGGACAGGGTGACCTTGAGATGGTACACTGAGCTCATGTTTCAATAGCCTTTCCTCTTCCTTGTTAACAAAGCTAGGCTTGCTGTGTTTGTTTCCCACTAGGTGGTGAGGACGAATCAGTTTTCAGTTACACGGCATGAGAAAATAGCCAATGGGCTAATAGGAGACCAAGGTCTGCCTGGTGTATTTGTGCTCTACGAGCTTTCCCCTATGATGGTGAAGCTGACAGAAAAACACAGGTAAGAGACATTTGGATTTTTTTTCATTCACCTTGTATTGATTTTGTCATTTTGCAGAGCTTAAAACACCAGCCTCGCTTAGACACTACAGCGCAGATACCTGAAAGTCCTCCAAGCTCCCTTCACAGTCAGGAGAGATGAAGGGGCACTCCCAGGTGCAGTTCCTCTCAGTGTAAACACCTAAAGTGGATTTGAGTTTTTCTGATGCTACCTGAAGCATCTTAATTCAGTATCAAGATGGAAAAGTAAATTGCTACAGTGAACAGAAGTCTGATATGGTGGTTCATAGTTCAGACTAATTTCCTCAAAGCCTTTTGCAAATCATGAGAACCATCTCCTTTTACTACTGTACTGCTACACCTTCTAGCAGGATTCTCCTGTGGTAGCCTCAGGACTGGCTGTGATGTAGCAGTTCTGAGGAACAAGCATAGAAGTCCTCTCTTTTGAGGAAGAGAAAAGGCGTCCCAAGTCTTTTCTTTCCTTTTCCAAAAGGTCTTGCAAGCCTAAGATGCAAGTCTGAAATTCCACGTTTTGGAGAAAGTTATGAAAGTATCTCTGTATCCTGACCTAAACAACTTGTGTGTTCTCTTAATGGGAAGACGATCCAGACTGTCTCCTGGTTTTGTGTAGCATAACCAACGTAACCAATTGATAAAACTGAAATTTGTTATATTTTTCACTGACCGGAGAACATCTTACCGGCACCTACAGCAGCGCCCAAACTGGCCCAACTTGATTTTTTGTATTTGCTGTAACTTTTCTGCATGTTGTAGTCAGGCTGAAACCTGTTTCTTCAGTTAACCGCAGCTTGTGGTTGCAGGGAAACAAAATGGGTTGTGGCTGTCAAATCTTTTCAGATCATAATGAAGCAGGGCTAAATTCAACACATTAGAAAGGTATTAACATTAACAAATGCTTGGAGATTTTGTTTCTGCATAATGCCAGCCTATTGTGAATTCTGTGAGCAGGAGTGGCTAAAATCTTAGGAATGAAAAGTTGGTCTTTCAGCTTTATAAATTCAGTCCTCCCAAGGTTGCAATTTAGCTTATTGGAGTGCACTACATACAGTGCTGTTCCTCAGTAAAAATATGCATGGGAAAGACATGGACTCCGTCCTGTTCCTAATAGGAGTTATTTAATAACAGTTAAATCTGTTAATTGTAAGTTACTGATATTTATATGCTGTATATTTATGTAGTATAATTAATATTTTTATAATTATGAATTAGTTTGTATTAGCTGATTCTTACTTACCTGCCTTTTTGATATCTGAGCTCACGTTCCAATTCTTTTCCTCATTCTAGGCCCTTTACACACTTTCTCACAGGGGTTTGTGCTATTGTTGGAGGCATATTTACAGGTATTGCACCTTTAAATCTTTTTTTCTCTCTAAAGTGCAAACATTTGTCCTCTTACTGTTCCTTGAGTCTGCGTGGTTGGTGAGAAGCCCATATTTTCTGGGGCAAGATGGTTTGCACCGTCAGGAAGGGGTATGGCACGTTCTGCAGAGCTATGGGCGAAGCATCAGAACTCTGTTAGCACAGCAGACTTTCAAGACACAACAAAAGTAGACCTATCGCAGCATTTCTTTTTGATGCCCTACAAGATGTTTTGTTTTCAAATAATGCGATCTTTCATATCCATGTGAATGCCGCTGTACTGTTTCTTGGCGAGATTGGGTCTGCAAGCAGATAGTTGCTTTCGTGTGGAACCTAAGCTGATAAAATCTGTGAACCCAAGCTGCCACGGGCAGAGCCAGCTAAGAGGTCTCAAACTGTGTTCCTGGATTCAGAAGCTCCATTGAGTGCTCTGCAGGGACTAAATGTAGCCCTCCAAATTAGCCTGGGTCACATAAGGGGAGACTGACCCCTGCAGAGCCATTTGAGTCTCTGGACCTTACTCCCAACACTGATTTCTGCAGTAGCAGATTAGCGTGCACTTAACTGCGTGCATGTTGCAGAGCCCAGCCTTAGACTAGCCTTGTACTCCAGCTAATAACCCAGGGCGCTCTGAAGCGTGGTCGGAGATGTTCACAGGGTTGTGAACGGCCAACCTTGAGATCTAGTTAGCAGACCTTGTCGGACCCCGGAAGCTCTGTAAAAGGCCAGTCAGTGTATCACATAATACCTATATCTAATGCCTATGCCTGTATCACATAATACCTATATTAGCAAGGCTTTCCCATCTCCTAAGGATCACAGCCCTCAATTTACCTGATATTGAAGAACTGTTTGTTAAACAGGATTTCTGTCTGTGATACATTTGATCATATTAATTTCTTAATTTTTGACTCAGGGAAAGGCTTTCAAACATTATTTTTATGCCAAAGGCAAGCATCCTCAAGCAATGACACCCAATTCATAGTGTTTTCTGCCATACGTCATGTTTAGACTTTCTGAATTTTAGGGGACAGATCAAATCAGCTGTGTAACAGTTTTTGTGTGACAGCCATCAGACTCTTCCCCCAAGTAGAAATGTTTTCAAGGCAAAACAACCACAAACCACAGTCATCTGGGGAGTTAACTGAAAGACCCCAGATAGCATGACCAAAAATTACGTATTCTTCAGTAATAGAAAGAAGAATCAATTCTTAGCTGCTACTCTCTGAGCTTAAGCAGTATCAAGATGTCTGTCTCTGTGTAGGGTCAAGAAACCACTTCCTTGTTCCCTAGATTAGAAGTGCTGAATAAAAGAAAAAAAAACACCCAGAAGCCTCATAAAGGCATTAAAAATGTCTTCACTTTCTGTGTTCCCTCAGGTAAAAAAGAGGGAGCTAGGCAAGCAAGAGCTTTTCCTGTGAAAGCTGTCTTGATGGAAGCAGGGTTATCTGGAGAGTAACTGGAGAATATCTGGAGTTTTGTGGTGCAGTAAACCCATTCTGAGCTTTTTCTTGGTCCCAAGCAAGCCGTGAATTAATATACTCTTTCAGTGCACTGGCTGCAGAGATTTGAGGGAAATACTGCATAAAGAACTTAAAGGCATCACTTTGTTTTATGTTTTGTGTTCTTGGTTGGTACACATTGCAGTCTCCCTTAAAGAGCATCCGTAAAGGGCAGTATGCCTTTATTGCGTAGACTGGCTCACTTTTAAGGTAACTGTGAAATGATCGTGAAGTGGGGAACATTGCCTTGACAGGCTATGTTAGAGCAATGAAACAGCATACACTTCCCAGACTGAACTTCCTCTCCAAAGTCTTCTCACTCATCAGTAAGCGCATGCGGCTTAGCTAGTCCCGTCTTTACCACTGTAAGAGAGATCTTTCTGTGGAGAAGCATGGCCCCGTCTGCTCCTGCAAACTGGATTTTCCCTCTCCTAATGAGATGAGGACCTTCATTCCTGAGCAGCCGCAGCTGTTTCCTCTTTTTCCGCTGACGGAAGGATTTGTGTTTTCTTTTCCTGGAGCTGTTCTCTCTTTGGGGAACGTCTGCATTGATTCCTCTATTTTCTTCTTTTAGTTGCAGGATTCATTGACTCCTTGATTTATCACTCAGCACGTGCTATCCAGAAAAAAATTGAGCTTGGGAAGACAACATAAGTAAACAATGACCTCACTGCACAAAAAACTCTAAGGAGAGCTAAACAGATTTTTTCAAAATACATGCGATCTTGTGTTTGCGCAAGAGAAGAGGTTTGGAATTACTGGATGGCCCCAACCACTCTGACGTTACTGTCTCATCATTCTTTGTTTGGCATTAATTTGTGGATGGAACTGCTTGAACCTTGCTGCTGTAAAGATGCGTTAGCCATCTCATCTGACTGTGCAGGCCCTACTGTATAAACCCTTTTGTGTCTGTCCATGTTCATCAAATTTGCCTCCCAAAAGAGCTGCTGGAGATACTGCAATGTGTTTGTCTCCAGGAGTAAGGTACTATATTGTCACGAAACCTGGAGCGGATTGAAGTTGCCATGAAATAAATTTTCTGGCAACGCCATCTATCCTCCTTTTTTGTTGTTGTTGTTAAAAGTGTTTCTGAATGCGCTGATGCTTGTATGCCGGATCTCTGTGAAAATGTGCTGAATCCCTCACGCTTTCCTTTCGACTGGGCTGCGCAACGTGGTGAGAGCTGGCACACAAGACGTGCTTACAACACTATGGGGCACTGCAGTGTTCTCTGGCTGCTCCCAACTGCTCCTTTTATGAAAGATGCAAGTTGATGTTTCAGTAAAAAAAAAAAAAAAAACACTGTTTGCAGTTTTAATTAATTTTTAAATTGGATTGTGTTTTTCACTTCCCCTGTGTTTATATTTTGTAATAAAGTTAAACCTCTGTGGGTTTTGATAAAGCATTTAGAAGAACAATTAAGTTAATTTATTTGAACCAGTCCTGGTACTAAATTGGTATTGAATCAGAAAATTCCTATAATGTGGCAAAGTATGTAGACATCATGATGCTGGAGATGTTTTTTTTCTTTTTAATGATCTACACAAGTGAGTAAAATGCTTAGTGCTGGGGCTGGCAGATGACATTAAATTTCGAGAAATTTGTAAATAACGAGCAAAAAAACCTGTTGTGAATCCCTGCCTCATTCTGAGGTAAAACAGACTCATTGCTGTGAAAACTCAGCTCTGGATTAGCTGAGGTTCTTGTATTTGCTCTAAACTTAGTCCAAGCCATTGAACCAATTTGGTCCAACAGTGAAGAGCAGGCACAGGATCAAATGATGCAGAGAGGAAGCTGTTTTAAAACTTTAAGAATAAATATAATTAATTTGAAAGTAGTATTTGCTTAATTAGTTGAATTTACCTTCAAAACACTGAGTATAGAAGTTTTTCAAACAGAGAGAGAAGCAATTTGAGGTGTGTGTAAGGAGACTGACTTACCACTATCCTAGAATGCAGAAAAAAATGGGTTTGTAAAAAAAATTAAATACTCTTGTTCCAAATGTATAAATCGGCCAGGTGATCTTGACTGGTCTGGTTTGAGGAAAGAGAGTGTATAGTATCTATATTTATTATCAGGAGCAAAAAGTGATCTGAACAGCTCTAGCCCCTTTGTCACTCAGCAGAGCTTACAGCTTTATAATTAAACTGTAAAGAATAAAAAAGAGTGTAATTACTTGTCAGACCTCAGAAGAGCATCAGCGAGCATCACGCTGAACTCTGCTCAGCACTGTGAGAAAAGATAGCAAAGATGAAAGGGTAAGCACAAGAATTGTATGGGAAACTGGATAAAAAGGAAATGACGACTGGCTGCTTGGAAAGGAGATTCTCAGAGCAGAGAAAGGGCAGATTAATCTTACTCAGTGTTTTCGGTATAAAGTGCTGAAGGGGCCTTAAAGGGGAAACAGAAACCTTGTACAGAAATGTAGATTCTACCTGGAAAGGTAGAAATCAGGTGAAATTTAGTAATTCATGCAGGGAGTAATATGGATTTTTCTTTCAAGGTGGGAGCTTATAAGCAAGAAAGAGACCCGGTGATTTTAACAGACTGACTGAAAGACAAAGCGGCTAATGTGACGTAGCCGTGAAAAGCTCAGTCTGGTTCAAGGATGTTCATATTTGCAGTTTAAAGTAGGAAACGGCAAACTGCTGCCATGGTCCTGCCGTCCCAAGGAGAGGACGGTACCACAGTAGTCGGGGTAGTTCTGTGTTTGGCAGGTTTTTCAGAACACATCTGAAGAGCTGTTTGGAAAGAATCTGGTTGTGCTGCTTACGCTCTGGAGCTTTGCAGGCTGCTTGCAAAAGGAAGAGGGCACTTTCTAATGCATCAGCAAAATACCTTTCACAAGCAGTAGGTGTGGGGAGGTGTGCGTGACCTCAAAGTGACGTTGCCAGAGAAGGCCGGTCCTTGCCCCTTTCTGTTCCACGTCAGGATGGCATCTCATGAACCTGCTTTGCTCTGGAGGGAAAAACCTCCTTTTGGAAATTTGGGCTCCATGGTCTGGAATGTCTTTGTATGGGACAGGTCTGAGATCAGCTGCACTGTCTTTTCAAGGCAGTGAGAGTTCAAAAAATGAATAAAACAAATGTTAACAATAGTTAGATTCACACATGGTTTCAAAGTTTATTCAGCGTAAGATCTCTTCAACAGTATTTATTTCTGCCATCTTCTGATTTCTGCACGCTTGACTATGCCTTTCTTACTCTTCTGTAATATCATTTAAAAATACTTCCCTAGTTATAAATAAAAACCAGCAACGGAAGATGCCCTTCCCTCCACCTGCCTGACGAACCAACATGAAACTTCCCCAAACGTCACCAGTGGGTAGAAACTGGTTTCTTCACAGACAGCTGTGTCTGAACAAACGCCATGAAGGAAGTAATTTGTTGCCATGCACACAGTCAGGGACCTGCTCTTGCGCTCTTTTTGCGCTTGCCCCTGGCTCTCCCGAGGAGCCGGTGGCTAGACCTGAGTGGATGCCCACGTGGACGGACCCAACACAGCTGTGGCAGTTGTAGTGTGTGGCTGGAAGCCAGCCACACGCTGGTGTTGTATAAGCAAGAGGTGGCAGGCAACCGCTACTGCTGGCAGTGGTGCCAAGGGCTGGGGGCTGGTTTGCAGAGCTCGGGTATGGGCATTGCCAATGTGCTCTCATCTCATCTAATTCAGAGCAGTCATCTGCTACGTGGGTCAGAGAGGGCAGCGATTTCTCCATCCTCTCGTGGCACACCCCAGCCCGCCCACGCACGCACGCACACTGCAGCCATGCCAGGACCACGTGCAGCAGCTCACAGACGCCATCCTGCCCCCGCTCCCTCCCGGCAGGCGAGAGGCAGGGCCCTCGGCTCCCCTTCCTGCCTAGCTGCCTGTCCCCCCCCCCCTACCCTTCCCACCCAGCCCAGGGCCGGAGCCCCCGAGTTTGAGTTTGTGCCCTTCTTTCTGTGCACTTTTCCCTCTGCAACAACAACTAGCTCAGGCGTAGCATAACTCTCCCATCTACTTGAATGTGTCCGCAGTTACGCTCATGGCCACTGGGTTGTAACTCATCCAATTTTAGGACTCCAGAAGCCGGGGGTTCGCCTCAGCTCCTTACTCTTGGTGTCGTCTTTGGTGAAGAAGCAGGAACTATAGCAAACATATCCTAGGCTAAACTAAGCTGCTGCAACAGCTCATGCTCCTCTCTGTCTGCAGTACCGAGCTGGTGGGACCAGCACAATCAGCCCCGAAGCGGCAAGCTGGGAAGGTGGCAGGAACAAACCAGTGGAAGTTGAGGCCTGAGGGCTACTGGCATGCAGCAGCGCTGGTGGGAGAAGCAAGGTAAAGAGCTGATGCAGCTGTCAGCACGTGCAGGTGTCTGCCAGTTCTTGTGCTAACACCCTGGCCTCCCTTTCTTGGAAATATGTCATTCGTAGAAAAAAATCCTGCCTTCAGCTGCCAGTCTCTTGATGATGCTGAATTCAACATCAGCATCGTGGACCTTTGTCCTGCGGAAGGCTCCAGAGTAGCGGTTTTCTTCCCAGTAGTGATGCCAGTTCCCTTTGGTGTCTGCTCCAAAGCCAAACACAGAGACCTGCACACACATCAACAAGAACAGTTGCTAAATGAGCACTCCATCCTCCCAAGAGCATACAGGCCAGTGCTTGCCCTTTACCAAATCTTCGTGCAGCTTCCGGTCTACAGAGGCCAGAGTGGGAGAAGTCATCTCTTGGCATGAAGCACATGAGCCTGGGAGTGTGCCGCACCGGTAATGGCGTTGCTCACAGCCCTAGCTGGTCATTAGGAAGCTGCAGGTTTGATGCAGAGTTCAGAGGAGACAAGGTAAATGAGGCAGGCAGGGGCAGTAGCTCCTCGGAGGAACATCCTAGCCCTCCTGCAGGATCCCCCCACTCATGGAAATGGGGCAAAGCTCAACTCACAGCCTACGGTAGAGGCCACCTCCTGCCACGGCCTGAGACTTGGGGTACAGAGCTCAGCACGTGGCACCAACAGGCTGTATGAGCAGGAGGTTTCTCTTTGAATGGCATTGTTACTCCAAGCAGCAACATTTGGCTGTGGGTAACAGCCAACAGGAGCAGGGTCGTGGCCACATGGGCTTCCTATAGCACAGCCAGTGTGAGGCACAACCATAGCCTTCTGCCTGCACGAGCCTGCAGCTGGGCCAGAACAACCTAGGTGCTGGGGCAGACTAGGAGCTGACTGCCAGGGAAGCACCACTACGGCAAAGGCCTTGGGTGTGCCTTTGCAGCAAGGCTGACCACATTCTGGCCACCCTGCATAGCCAGCAGGTCAAAGGCCATGACCTGCACTTGGCACTGGGATGGCTGTGGCTGGATGCAGCGTCTGGTTTGCGCAGCCCAGCACTTGAGAGCTGTCAACAAACAGTAGCAAAGCAGAAGTTAGACCAAAGTTGGCGCCAGGCCCTTCCAACAGCTGCAAAAGGATGAGAGGCAGCAGAGAATTGCAGCAAAGGAAATGTTCTTTGACCAAAAAAACAACCTCTTCCCTATGAATGTTGTAGCCATCTTTGAGGATCCAGAGAGGTACAAGGTTCTCCATCCTGCAGGATTTTCAAAATTTGGCTACACAAGACCCTGTCTTGAAGTTAGCCCTGGTCTGAGCAGTGAGCTGGACTAGAGACACCCCAAGGTCCCTTCTGCACTTTGTGCCCACAGAGAACATGAGGCTGAGCCCGTAGCACCTCTCAGAGCCAGTAAGGTCACAGAGCCGTGTGAGATGGTGACACAGCCATGCCAAGCACTGGGGCTGAGCTGCTCCCACTTCATTTCAGGGCTACACCTAGGCCTGCTGGCCACACTCACCTGCTGGCAGGCGTGCAAGGCAAAGAGCAGCGTGGTGAAGCCAGTGGAGGGGTACTTCCCGTGGCGCTGTGTCCAGTTGTCATGAATGTACTTGAGAAAAGCAGGGCTCAGGATCAGCACCTGAACAGGGGAGCAGAGCACAGCCCCAGTAATCAGTTTGCCACAGCGCTACGAACAGAATGGCCAACCCCTGCCACCAGCAAGGTGATGTCAGAGCGGCCATCAGCCTTCCCCGCCCATCTCTGCCTGCATCCCACTTGCTGCTGCCTGCCAGAGGCGGCTCTGGCTGAAGGAGCCCTTGTCTCCCCCAACACTACCCAGTGGGCTCCTGCGCTGCCTTGCAAACTCTTTTTTGTGCCACATTGTACAGCCATGCTGCTTTGCAGCCCCTTCCTCCCTGCTGCCTTGACAGCCCCAGCACATGGGGCAGCCAGGCGCCCACCCCCGCTGGCCCAGGTGCATGCCACAGGCTGCAGGTGGGGGTGCTCCCTAGAAGCCCACCCAGTTCTTACCTTGTTTTTGTCAGCTTTGATGAACTGTCTGACTCTCATGTATGTGCTGTAAAAGTGACAGGATATTCGTGAGCTAGAGGCTGTCCTGCACCATCTCAGGAGGACAGCAGCTTCCCTGGGAGACCTCTCCTTCAGGGGCACACAGTCTGTAGAGGGCTGCTGTGATGACCAGCGCCAGGGTGCCTGGCAACCCCGCAGCCTGCCAGGCCTGCCCAACAGTGTGTCTATGACCTGGCTGGCTCCCAAAAGGCTCCAGCACCATATGAGGGAGGACCCAGCCCTGCACTGTGCTCCCTCCATACCCCTTGCCAGCACCCAGGGAGGCAGCCACCTCAAGGAGCCAGCTAGGAAGGCCCACATCAAGTCCATGGCCACATGGCTGGGACAGCCTCCATCCCAATCATGCTGCCACAGGACGCTTGAGCCCTGTAAGGAAAGGTTGGCGCTGGCTTCCCCCAGAACACAAGGCAGAGACAACAAGCCTGCCTGCAGAGGGCTCTGAGCCCTTTCTTCAGCCAGAATAGTGGAGCTGAGGAGAGGGGCCAGGTTCTCCAGGGCAGATGGGACACCCTGCATCATTCCCCAGTGTTTCTGGCACAAGTGACATGCTCCCCCCACCTGCTGCAGAAGACCCAGGCCACATCCAATGGCGGGAAGCTACGCACTGTGTGAGTTCTCCTGTGGAAAAGGCGCTGGCCACCCACTTCAGGTCCAGTGGCTTAAAGGGGACAAGGACGAGGTGGACACCAGGCCAGAGATTCATTGCGCTTTCTGGGTACATGAAGTGATGGGTTGTTCTCATGCCGACGTCCACCTCGAAGCCTGCTGTCTTTGCTCTGTTCATCCTAGGGGAAGGGGGCAAGGGACGTCCCAGAACAAAGCCGCACACCATGTGGGACAGTTTGGGTCCTGAGGTGCACGGTTTTGCCAGGCAGCAACACTGGTCTGCCCTGGCTAGCAAGCAAGAGGAGGCGACCTAGGTCCACGAGGGTCCAGTGTGTGCTCTGGGCTGTGTGCAAGGGGCCTTGGCTTCATCTTGGCCATCAAGGGAGCAAGGAGCAGGACAGGACCTGGGCATGGGCTCTCCTATTTACCCAGAGGGCTGCAGTCCCCCAGGGAGCAATGCACTGGGACTCTCCGCACCCCTGTAGTGCCAGCATGGGCTGGGAGAGGGGGGGGCTCCAGACAGCAGGGGCAGTGTCATTAATTACCCAATCCAGGGGCCCTGTGCTTCTGCTGGGAGGGGGGGGGAGGAGTACAAGGGGTTTTTCTCTGGGCTTTCATGGGGCTGCCCATGGCCTACCAGGCTTCCAGAGAGGACAGAGCAGGGCCCAGGGCTGGGCTGCGCAAGCCCCCTGGGGTACACTCACCTCAGGACCCAGTCATGGGAGTCGATCCGTGGCCCATGGTGGGATCCTTTCAGCCTCCCCGAATTTCCCACCACAGCGCAAGTCCTGCACTGGGATGCATCCCATGTGCTGCTGGTTGGGGATGGGAGAACAGCGAAGAGGTGCTGAATTGTCGCCTGGAGCTGGGCTCCGCTCGGGGAGCTCTGCAGCTTCTAGCAAAGCAAGGGCAGAGACAGGTTGGCATCAGCCCTGCAGGGCTCCTAGGGAAGAGCTGACAGAGCCTGACTCATCCCAGAGGTGCCCAGCAAAAGCACGAGCAGTGACACAGCGAAAGCATGAGCAGCAGTAGGCATAAGTCACACAGATGAAAAGCCTTCTTGGATCTTAGGAAAAGAGTTTCATGGTGAGGATAGTACAGCCTGGGGGAGGGAGAGGGGCACAGAGACGCTCAAAACTTGTCCAGATGAGGCCTTGAGCAAGGCCTCTGATCCAATGTCAAAGCTGGCTCAGCTTTTAGAGGGGGCAGATGGAGATGACGCCAGGCGGGGAGGTGGGGAGCCCCTGGAGGCTGCACTCAGCATCCCTGGGACCTGCTCAGCTCCCTGTGTCTCTGCACTTCACTTCCTTGCTGGCAAGGGGCAGCCTTCCCCACCAGCATGCACCAGCAGCCAGAGCCAGCCGGGCTGGGGGAGCGCGTGGTGGCCAAGTCAGCGAATCTGGGGAGCGGGGACCTGGCCACCTGGAGGGAGCACTGGGGGCCAAGGGTGCAGCTGGCTGTGAATTGCTGCCCACAGAGCGTCCGCGCGACTAGGCACAGGGACCCGCAGCCTCCCGGGGCTCTGCCTGGAGCTCAGAGCAGCTGAGAGCAGCTGCAGGAGTCGAGCGAGCTATCGAGAGGTGCGGGAAGAGTCGGAGACAACTGAGGGCTGTGCCAGTGGCTGGCCTTCTCTCTCCCTCATACTTTGGGCCCAGC